AGTATCCCATATAAATTTTCAGTAACTGAAATTAAATCAAAACACCTTTGAAAATTGCACCATCTTGATAGGATTTAATTATCCTTCTAAAGTCACTTTGTTGTATTATACAATGTAATCATTGTTTGATTCATAGTGCAGGGAGTCCAGCATGAAAATGAGAAACTAACGTGAGGTAAAAAGATGACAGAAATCTCTTGGTCTTCTGCAGGGCTTACACAGGTTACATTGAAGTGCTGAGTCTGATGATGGAACTATATTTATGCCAAAACTGCATGGCTCAAATAAGTCACTTGAATATATATACATATATGTATATAATGAGACTGTTTCCTTCAGAATGTGAGCTTGTCTTAGAAAATTGTGACACTCAGACACTCAGACACTACAGATTAATTAGTGTCCTGAACTTGGTATTTTATATCAAGCAGCATGTGTCTAACATTGTCAAGCTGAAAATCTTTTGAATTTCACTCACTGTTCACAGACAGGATTATCAAAGCTTCTGTATTAGATATTGTCACTATTTCAGCTTTCTTTTATTAATGTACTGAGACAGGAAAAAAAAAATAATGGAAAAATCAAACCCAAGCTCTCCTTTTTAAGTAAAAAAAATTAGCATCCACTCATGGATCCCTCTTAAAATTATGATGAAGGAGGATGTGATGAAGGAGGAAAGGGATATGAAGAGTTTATGCTTTAATCTCTTTAAATTCAGACACAAGCTGTGGCCAATGCTGTGAACTAGAACCAAACCTGGTCATAAAAATGACTGGGTTGTCTTAAATTTCAATATCTTTATTGCCATCATCTTTATTTATAAGTCCACACAAAACCCCATCTTTGATATTAGCTAATGGTCAATAAGCACCAAGAACTGGATGCCATTTCCCTCCTCTCTCTGAAAATGAATATATAAGCTTATTTGTCAAGTACTACATTGTGAAAACTGTCTAAATTTTTCCCAGGCTGAGGCTGAGGTCAGGGTGAGCCCCATCTGCAGATGGTGCAGTCAGGAGACCACCATAGGGAGAAAGGACTCTTGTGCATGAGTGCTGGGACTGGAAAGGAAGAAGCTGTAACAACACTGTGCAACTACTTGCTGAAAATTCTGAGTCAGCACATTGCCTTTTCATGTGGTGACATTCCACAAGGTAACATGCTTTCTACTGATTTGTTTTCCAAATTCCACTAGTAGAGTGGATGTCAAATGGAGTCAAAATCACATCCATCATGGATGATGAATCATATTTACATGAGACATGCAGGTTTGACTCATTTGCCCACTGCAGGGATATCATTCTTTATTGCTAAATATTCCCATTACTTACTTCCTGAAATGGGAAAGCAGCATTCAGTGAATGCACAAGATATTGACTGTGAGCTACACGAGTGTTCCTTGCAAGCCCAAATTCAGCTAAAATTGACACTTCTTTCACACAAGCTCACATCTATATACAAACATAGGGTGAAAACATTTCTAGAGTAGAAGGCTTGCAGATGCTTTCTGTTTTATTTAAGGCTCAAATCTTTGCTTGTATGGCCTGAAGCTGAATGTGCTAATGCATGCCAATGTGCCAGCAGGTATTTCAAGCATACTCTGGCCACTCGGGACCAACAGTTAGCAACGAGGATGGAACGTGATTGCATTTAATGTGCTTTTGAGACTGTTTTAATCTTGCAGCTGGAACAAAGCCTGAAACTACCTATTCGACTGATAGGGCTTCTCTGCTCTGAAGAATTTCACAGGCAAAGAAGATGGCTGTGACTCACTGGGCACAGCGTTTAGGTCAGTGTCTGCCTGAAAGAACTGAATCATTTTAAAATCTTACTCATCAAATGCTTCCTATAATTTATTTCACTAATTTACATTTGTAGAGATTCGTAATGCAAATATTAAGGTTGGTACAAAGCAAGAGTGAATGGAAATGTGTGTATCTGTAAGCACCAGAGGAAACAGGAGAGCAGAGAGTTTGAAGAATGTTTCTTGTCAAAAATGAAGCACATGCTTCCAGGACACTGTTCCTGTGTTATGTCAAGGCCAGAGCACAGAGGACTTGACAGCAGCTGACCGTGCAGTCTGACACCAGGCAGATAACATCAAGGTTGTTGCATATCACCATTACTTTTCTTTTAGCCCACCAAGAAAATATGTTATAGACATAGTCTATACAAGCCAGACATGGAAAAATGTGTTAAGAGCTGATGACCCCTAAAGGATATAAAAGCTCTGTTCATAAACTAGCCTGGCATTTCTGATCAAGAAGAACCAAAGGGGCAGGATAAGGACTTGGTGGACCCAGTAGCAGGTATACCTTTTCTCATGCTGCACACAAGTGATTCTCACCAGACCACATCTGGGTGCTTGTGAGAGGATGGGGGTGTGTGTGAGTGAACGAGATGTATGAGGGGGTGACTGTGAGTTGAAAAAAATCAGCTTATTTAGAGATTTTAAGAGGAGGGCCATAATATCAGAGAGCTGAAGCACCTCTCCTATGAAGCCAGGCTGAGAGAGCTGGGGCTGTTCAGCTTGGAGAAGAGAAAGGTCCAGGGAGATCTTACAGCAGCCTTGCAGTAGCTGAAGGCACCTACAGGAAGGCTAGAGAGGGGCTTTTTACAAGGGCATGGAGTGATAGGACAAAGGGTAAAGATTTTAAGCTGGAAGAGGGGAGATTTAGGTTAGATATTATGAAGAAATTCTTTAGTGTGAGGATGATGAGAACTGGAACATGTTGCCCAAGGTAGTTGTGGAAGCCCCATCACTGGAAGTGTTCAAGACCAGGTTGGATGGGGCTCTGAGCAATGTGGTCTAGTGGGAGGTGTTCATGCCCTTGCAGGGGGGTTGGAACTAGGTGATCTGTAAGGTCCCTTCCTCACCCTGAATTTTTTTACACAAAATACCCTAAATATTAAATAGTATAAAATAAATCTTTAAAAATTAGCAATGTTCTATGCTCCCATGACCCTGTGCAAAGAGAACTGGCCATTTGGTTTTCCCACTCAGAACATTTTTACAGCCCGTGTTAAATACGAAAAGAGACTTCTCTAGTGAAATATTAATACTGGCATCAATAGCTACATCTAGCTACATTAGCTACATCTAGCTATATACAGCAGCATCTGTTCACATTTTTGTAGATGCTTGTTTTGACATATCTATTAAAACATGTATGAGTAAGTGGTATTCCACGTTACAACTATACAATTCAAGGGCAATTCCATTAGTGTCAGTGACTGCACTAGACTAAAACTACATGGCTACTATGCTCTTGTATATCGTTTGGTGTGGGTTTTGATTGCTGTTGGGTTTGTTTAAAGGATTTTTATACAAAATCTTACAGAGAGCACATTCCATATAAGAGCTAAAAAAATGGCATCACCAGCTTGTTGGTGTGTTATGAAATATCAGCCTTCAGGGATCTTATTGTGTAAAATACACTGTTTTAGGTAAAAATCTAGCTAAAGAAAGATGAAGGGAGCAAAGTGTATCATTTTAAACATATGACTATTCACGGTGTTACTGTGAGGGACCTACCTGAAGGGCCTATTGTAGGAAGTGGTGTTGAAATACCATTGTAAGCCCTGAAATACAACTTGGTTGGCACTCAAAAAAGGAATGTCTTCATATAGAGATATGACACAGTGGAATAGAGGAGAGGGTGGAGGTCCCTTCTAGTTGCTCAATCATGATATGTCTCAACCACTCTTACTCATCCTTTCAAAACGATTGTTTCAGAGAAACAGGCCTGTAAAAGGAGAAGCTGTGATGGTGGGCTTCAGGAGCTTCACCAACACCAGCCCTCCCCTATTGACTGGACCAGTGCAGGACTGGTGATTTTGTTACCCATCTCTCTAATTTTTCTTCTCTTTTTCTCTCTGTCTCTCTCTTTTCATTCCTAAAATCATTAAGTAAAGCAAGGCCTACCACGATTTTTCTCAGGTTGCACAGCTTGAACATAAATATCTCATTAATATCTCATTACTTTTATAATAAAAATATCAGCCTTTATGATCACACAGCCTGCACATACATAACAATTGAGGCATCAGTCTTTATGAGTTATTCCTTCTGTAGTTTTAATTAAAGCTAATGTTCAAATACGGACTCTGAGTGTCATTTCACCTTAATCCAACTGAGGGGATTTACAAATCAGAGTTACCTTCCATCTCTACCCAGAAGGTGGGACATAACAGTTACATACTGATTTAGTACGTATATTTGTCCATATATATATATATATATAATATAGAAAGTTGTTTGTTTGGTTTGTTGTTGTTTTTTTAAAAGAAAAGAAGTCTCACCAACATTGTCTGTAGTAGAGCGAAGAAACTGTCTGTTTAGAACATTTTTGGAGTTTCTACCACAATTCACTTATCCTAACTTCAGATGTCTCAGTCTAACATGGTCACCTTACAAACTCTTTATTATGGAGAGAAATATGCATCTCCAAGAAGGTGAGTTGTTCAGCCCATCTCAGACTGTCACAACTGAACCACTCAGAGTATTTATTTCTTTGCCTTGCTTACAAAGGCCACCTACAGTGACAAACTGAGAAGTAAATGTGCAATTTTTGCATAGGTGAAGTTATAAGGCTTCCGTTGCCCTTAGCACATGGATCATCCTCCACTACACATTGGAATGTTCCTTCAAGGTTTTCATTAGTTTTGTTCTTAATGAACATGTGCACCCCAAACATTGCATCATAGTCCATCCTCAGCAACAATGTAATATCTTCAATACCCATACTTTAAAGTATTTTGCATTACTTTATTGTTTACTTCTTATATAACTCTTCCAAGTTTTGCATTAAAAAATCCCATCCACTTTTCTTTAGGACCTTGAAAAGCAAAACATAAACCAAATCTTTATTTGTGCTAAATGTTAGCAAAACCCTCTCTTACGTTCCCCTGCCATATCTTTACTGATCATCGAAAAAAATACTCCTTAAAAGAAATTAAAAATACTTTCTGAAACAAAAAAAGGAAAACAATGACTTTACCTATTACAACGTGCATGCCAAGTCGTGCCAAATGCTTCACAGTTTGGTAACCAATTCCTTTAGCACCTCCAGTCACTATAGCGACCTTTCCATTTTGTGTAGTGAAAACTATACAAAGAAAAAGAAATAATGTGAGGTTAGTTCATAATAGTAACACAATTAAGAAGTTAAGATGTATTTTAAAGAGGCATAACACTCAACAGACCGCTCAAGCTGGCTAGTAAGCAATCTCAGAAGCAACTCTGAGATTCCAACTCTGAATGGAAATAAAAACTACAGAGCATCTCCCATTATTTACTGCACAGGACTGAAGTTAATGATGCAAAAAACAACTTCAGAAAGTTTCTCATTTCTATTTATATGCATTTGGTCATCCTACAGTAATCTGCCCTTCAAAATTTTCACCCTAACTTTGTTACAGAGCAACGTGTCAGGTGACAGAAGTCAGCTCAGGGATGGTTTGCTTCATGCCTACAGGGAAAAAATCTAATTGGCAGCATGATATCCTGCAAGCTTCCTGAACAACAAAGGACAGGTGTCTACCAGTAACACAGGGAAGCAGCAAGTAGCTCAAAGATGACGCATCTGAAGGGCAGGAGCTGGTCAGCCCAAATTACCTGCATAACCGTGCACTCCCTCGTTGGAAACCCCAGGGTTCTGGCTCCCAAAGAAAGAGAGAGCAATTTTTTGCATGAAAAAACCCCACCTGCTTTTCCCACCCACCTCAGACCCTCCTGCAGAAACCAGCATCCCTGATGCCCTCAGCCAGCCCTACACCATCTCTGTCCCACAAGCGATTCTTAACCCAGGGCAACACACTGCCCAGCGGGCAGGACACACACCCCCATGAACCACACTGCCAGGGGCTGCTCAGACCCACAGTCCATGCCTCCTGAGTCCCCAGGTCCTTCCACTGCCCCAGTGAGTTAAAAAGTGGCTGGGACAGCCCCAGCAGGGCAGCCACCATCCTGACTGCCAGCTCTGACACCAGCTGCAGGGTACCCAGCACTTCCCTCCAAGATGAAGGGAGCCCTCCTGCCAAGGGGGAGCAAAGGTAGTTCAGTTTAACTGCTTGGGGGAGACATGGATTAGGTCAAGTATCAAACAGGATTTTTTGATGAGGTGGCGAAACTTTCACATGAAACACCATGTGGTCTTCAGGTATCCAACGTGAATTTCTGTTTGATTTTTAGAAGAAGAGGCTAGGTATTTGTACAGGGAAAATGGCACTGAATATTTTAGTTTGCTGCAGTGCAGTGTCTGTAGGCAATGTTATAGATAAGAAATGCTAAAAAGATGTCAACTTTCATCTATCAAAGGACTTTCTATTTTGATTCTAGGTTTTTAGGGGATTACTTTGTTGTACAACACAAGCTCATATTCTATATGGTTATGAAGCACAAAACTAGTGCTAATAAAAGCACCTTTCTTCCCAGAAACTTCAAAAATTACTCAAGATTTCACGTTTTTTGAAATACATTGTTCTTCCCAGCATGATTCAAGATGAATTTCTGTTATCTTCAGATAACAACATGATTCTTTCCATCCAGGCAAAGTGAGAATTTTTTGCAAGTTTTTCAAAGGGGATTCCTATTACACTGATATCCGTGCAGGTAGGTGTCCTAATAAATATAATTCAAGCTAAATAAAACTTCATTGAGAGCTTTCCTAAAGAGCTGCACTTTAGTTACAAGCAGTTCTGCAATTTCCACCAAAAATATTGCTTAAAAGAACCTCTAAATAAAAAGTCCACATTTCTTTTCAATAGTTAAGCCCAGAAATTAAAGCCAGACCTGACACTAAATACTTGGGTAAATTATGCACTCTGGGCAGTATTTTTTAATTGTATATTACCTTACTAGACTTAGCCATTTTAGACTATGTTTTCCTGATCTCTGCCAGTGAAACAGAAAAAATAATAAAAAAAATAATAATAAAAAATTGCAGTTTTTGAAAACACAGACAGGAAATAAAGATTTTATAGAGGAAGAAAAAAAATGCTCTTAGTGTGAAACAAGTTGTTTTCACCTCTATGTGAACAGCCCTTGTGCCTCTGCATGAACGGATATGCCTGAAATTTGGTGAGGACATATAATGTCAAGTTCTATCAGCCATGGAGTGAAAAATCACTGCCTGAATGATTTGTGTTAGTGAAAAGGGTGACCAGAATGTGCCCATGGTTCAACATTTTAGACCACATGGAAACACGAACACATTGCCTTGTACCAAGGGCATGCTAAGAGAAAACAGGTCTCTTAACCAGGAAGAGGGCAACAGTCTTTGCAAGAGGGCAGACAAATATGAAACAAAGTGCTTTCTGAGCTTGTGTTAGCTTAAAATGTTCAAGACTCTGAAAAATGAACTCTGGCAAAGCAAATGCCTCTTGGGTCAGTCAAGCTCACGCTGCAAGAGCCATTCTGAGGCCTCTCCTGAGGAGCTGAACAGCTTTAATAGATACACGTGTGAATTTTGCATGTGGCAACTGCATATGTACTTGTAAAGAAAATGCCATCTAGAAGGCAAAAAAAGCAAGCTGAAATCCACTAAGTACTTTTCTTTTAAAGTTTAGTTACTGCAATCAAAATCTAAATTGAAAATTCTGCTGACGTGTGATTCAGCTGGTTGCAAAAATGTGAGGTTTGCTTCCTTCCCAGAGTTCTCCCTCCTTGCTTATCTTTCATCCTGTTTCACCCATGCATTTGCATTTCCCTTTTTGTTTATTTCCTATGGCTGACATATTTTATTTTTTTTTTTTTTGCAAAATTAATTCAATAAATGGAAGAAAAGGAGAAGAAGTCTGGACAGAGTAATGGGCAATTACATGAAGGAAAAAAGTGAAGTTAGAAGAGCGAAGTGAAAGCAGTTATCACTGCAGTGAAATGGTACTCTCAACAGAGGGCAAGGAAAGAAAATGTCCAGTCCTACCCCATCCTGCAAAGAAAAGGACATTTTTTGGTCTCGACGGCTACTCAAGTCAGGTACATTATCAACCTGTAATAAAGAGCATTGCAGACAGACTGCATGGCAGAGATGCATTCAGTGAGATCCTATATTACAGAGAACTTTAAGACAGGCCTGTTTGCAGCAGCTAGCTCCAAGGACCTAAGCAAGCACCCAGGGAGGGAGAAATGAGGGCTGCAGACACAGGGATAAAGGGCCAGTATCTGCTTTATTTAAACAGGTACAGTACACAGCTTCCACAGAGCATGGTTTGAATAAACAACAACACTACAAGTCACAGCTCAGTATATTGGCTCACTTGATTCACTTGATCCAAAATAGGAAAGACAAAGAGAAAAACTTAAGTGCATATTGGGTTGGGAGGGAATAAAAATAAAATAGTCTCTATAAATTAACTCTTAATATTTGTATTAATCTTACATTAATTCTAATTTGCAGAAGAGGTGTACAGTTTCTTTCAAGAGAGATACCTTAATGTAAAATTAATCTCCATGCAAATGAGACACTGCTAGTTCTGACATCAATAAAAGTGGTCAAGCTGAAGCCCAGGCTGTATGAGTCAGACAGCCGGAACTGCAGCAAAAGGCGGTTTATCGGTGCACTGTTCCCACCAGAACTCCACTGTCTACCTGGTAGAGTTTGCAAAACACCCACCTTCTCAGTGTGAAACCACCAGGAAACCCAACGAACTTTCAAAGCAGACCTGGGCTCAGCCTGGTTTTCCAGCCAATACTCGTTTATTTTGCTCAAGAGGCTGCACTCAGCACGGCCAGAGGCTAAGATCCCCCCAGGCAGAAGGCAGTGGAGACCCACCAGCTTTGCCTCCTTGAGGAGGTTCCCTCAGGCGCTTCTTGCACCTCATTTAAACCACCCCAGCTCACTCTCTGCCTCTGCTTCTGGTAAGTAGGTAGATACTGATCTCAATTACAGAGGCATGATGCCAGGGATCTCACCGTGGGACATGAGAACTGTATAGCCCTGGTGCTAATGAAATCCCCTGACCAAGCAAGAGCTGTTTAATTTCCCTTTGTGTTGGAAGAAACCATCCTGCCATCCCTAAGTGCTGCTTTATCACACCAAAGTCTGAGTGAGGCTTCTCCCAGGCTGCAGGCTGTGCCTCCATCCCAACGTATTTCAAAGTTGTAAGCCTGTCTATTTTGCAAGTGAATTAAGCTAAAGCAGAAAAATAAGGTAGATTTATTCTGTAATAAATATCTCTAGAAATGAAACTATTTTAAAATAATTATTGTCTTTTAAAATAAATTTCTCCTTTGTCTGAAATAACTTGTATGTACACAGACATCCTCACACACAGTCTATACTGCACAGCAATTCTGTTATTTTTAAGAATATTAATTTTCAGGGGACTCTTAAATATGTGAAGATGTCTCTGCAATTCCCAAGACCACACATAAATAAAACAGGCTGCAGACCCATATCAATGACCATTTCCATATCAATGACCAGCTCTTGCCAGTAAAATCTCAGCTCTGGGTAAGGGTGAAGGTAATTGAAATACCCAAATGAAAACAGAGGCACTAAACTCTCTTCTTTGCAGAAATGCTCTATGTGAACACAGACAATGCTAACCTCAGAAGAAAAGCTGCCTTTAAAAGTTGCTTGCTCTGGTGTTCTGTAATCTTTTCACAAACACAACATGTTTACAGGGGGGGAAAAAAAGAAAAAAAAAATATTCAAAGTTTATTAAAAGCAAATTGTTTCAGATTTTTACAAAGTTCCATCTCCTATCCTATTAAGCAAGCATCTGTATTGTGGAAGATTATCAGTCATGTGGACACTAAAATATAGTATCTTTCTATTAATCTCTTCATTAAACCCTCACTGTTAAGACACTGAAGGCCAAAGGCAGAATTTAGCTTGTCTAAATCAGTCTCCAGCCTTTATCAGGCAAGAAAGACGAGCAGTGCTGAAGGCATCTCTGGAGCTGGTCAGAGAGGCCACCCCAGAAGCACCATGCTGGGACATGGCTGCACGTCCTGAAATGAGCACTTGGCAGAGGGATTTCAGTGGCATTTGTGCTAAAGAGACCCCCATGCACAAGTCCTAACAGTTATTTTTTCCCTTCCTCCTTAACTGAATAATTTACATGCAAATATTATGCCTGTAGGTAATTGGCAGAACCACAGATG